CCTCAATAAGACCATCTAAGTCTTTTCTAGGAAGTCACAGACCAGATCTTCTGTCCTTCAGCATTCTTGAGAGTAATTCAATTTCTAGAAGAAAATGTTCCATTTTAATACAGGGTTGACTTGAGCATACAGAAAGATTTTAAAACAAGTCTGATCTACAGCCCTTAGTGCAGTCCAGATCGCACCGGCAAGTACAGGCAAAAGGCATAAGCGATTTTTCAAGGTACCGTGCATGTTCTCGCTCTGGAGAAAGAACTTCAAGGATGAGCAGGAGAGGAGATGGAGATATTTTTCTGATTCTTAATCCAAGAAGTCAAACAAAGCCTCCTAGCCCAGGCTCTGGAGCTGCAGGCAGTAGGACTTGAATTCCAAAGCCCTTCGTTTCCTCTAGAAAACAGCATATTAGCTCCTCAGTCACGTACTTTTTTTGACTGTTGGCATTTCCCCTGATTTCTTCTGTTGTTTCACAGTGCTGTGAGTTTGCATTGGGCTTGAGGTTTTCTTTGGAGGAATTACTTTTGTAGAATTAAGTCCCGCAGACTTTCACGAAACCTGGAATGCTAGAAAATAGGATCGTCGTTCCAAGTCGGTTAGACTCTTGGACAACTTTAAAAGAAATAAAAAATAGGACAAGAGACCTGAATAGCTTTTCATTTCCCTAAAGAAACATGCATGGCATTTACTGCTTTATTTACAGAGTAGCAGCAAGTGGTTCCAAAAGTTTGTTAAATTGATCCCAGGGCCTAGAAATGCAAACTACGTAACAGCAGTGAAACTCGACCTTCTCTTTGGCCTGGCTGATGCAGTAACGTACTTGTGCATTTAATAGCATAAACAATGGTCTTCAGCAATTGATTCTAATGTTGTCCTGTAAATGAGGGTGAAAGCAATGTAGCAGCTTAAAATAATTTCTCATTACATCCTTCCTAAGCATGTACTGCCTAGCACTTCGAGATTGTTCTATTATTAGAGATCTTTGAACTCATAAATTTACAGGAAATAGCAAATAATTTACTCAAGTTATTAGTCTCGTTCTGTAAATTGATCAGTGGCCACAGAGAGCATTGTGTGCGTATGCATGATGGTAAATAGATGCTAAATCTCATCCAAAACAAAAAAAAAAAAATTGTTTTAATAAATACTTCCTACTGTAGCATTCATTAAAGACAGCATTTTACTCCTGGCTTCCTGAATCAGAATCACAAAACTGGTGAAGAAAAGATGAAGTTAGGGTTCTCTTGGTCACTGTTATTGGATATTTGAGGAACTGCAAAAAGGCAGCATGATAAAGCATGCTTTCCTAAATGTTATCTGCTGTGGTATCCCAGTACATCAAAGGAATATTTAAAAGGACTGAATATATTTAAAAGCCTACCTGCTAATTTTAAAAATACTACTTAACATATTGTGCTACTTAAGATTATAATACATCTAACCCATGAAATAGTCTACTGTATATTTATTTTTAAATTATTCCTAAGGATTTAAAAAAATATTTTCTGAGGTTATAACTACATTTCTGATTTGCTTTCATCATGTATTTATTTGGTCAGCAACCATCCTCTCAGTCCTAGCTGACTCATTTGTGGCAGCCACTGAAACTCTTGAGTGTTGAAACATTTTGCCAATAGAATGATATAGGAGTAACTTGCTGAGACCAAATGCTTTCATCCCCTTTACTACTGTGAATAGTGCAAGCATGCATATACTGAAGGCAGATTCGGCCCACAAGGACTTCCCAAGAGGAAAATGTAACCCCCCCCACAAGAACTACTTTTTTTTTCTATTTCTGCTTTTAAAACCACTGATCTTTCCCT